GTGACGGAGCCCTGGCCCAGGCTGCCCAGAGGGGCTGTGGAGTCTCCTTCTCTGGAGATATTCAAGCCCCGCCTGGACGCAGTCCTGTTCAGCTGGAACTTCCTCTGCTTCAGTTTGTGCCCGTTGCCCCTTGTCCTGTCGCTGGGCACCACTGAACAGAATCTGGCCCCATCCTCCTGACACCCACCCTGAAGATATTTATCGGCATTTCTAAGGTTCTCTCTCAGCCTTCTCTTCTCCAGGCCAAAGCAGCCCAGCTCCCTCAGCCTTTCCTCATAGGAGAGATGCTCCAGTCCCCTCATCATCTTTGTAGCCCCCACAGGAAAGCGTCCCCATCCTGCATGCTTAGAGCCAGCCCCAAACTCCCCTTTTTGCCTCCAACTGGGGAATATTACACGGCTGTGGAGCGGTTTCTCTTCAGATGAATTCAAACCCTTCCTATTTTAACTGGGAACCCCTAAAAGCTTTGAGATGCTGCAGTGACTAAGAGACAGGGTAAAGAGGTAAATAAAGTAGGTGAGAATAAACTTCACTGGCTTCAGTTGTCCAGAGAACTCATCTGCATCCCTGAGAACATTCTGTAACACAGCACCTTCTTCCACCATCACCTGGTAATTTCACTCCCAAGTCTCAGCGAGAATTGTCCCTGCTAACTTGATAGTGCCTGGCTTTGGAGGAGATGAAGCATCTCAAACGCGCTATTCGTCATTTCTGAAGCAATCTTCCTGCCTTCGTTGCTTGCACACACAGCGAAGACAAGTGCACAAACTCAGTCTTAGTTGCCAACTCAATTGTCGGGAAGCAGCACGCAGCGAAGGAAAGCCTGGCAGCCAGGAATTCAGCCACTGCAAACGGCAGCTTGCAGGGCTCTGCCCACTGCCAGAGGGGTGTAAAAGTTTTGCCATCAACTTCTCTACCTTTCAGCAGCATCAGCTCCTTACAGCAAGGCTGCAGCTAAACACTTGAAATTCCAGTGAAACCCAGGGAACTGGATTCTTTTATAAAGCCTGGAGGCACCCTGGCGTGCTCTGCATGCTTGGCTTTCAGGCAAGGGTCCACTAAAACGCCATAGCTATGTGATTTTTGGAACTGTTGTACCCTGTCCCCCCCAGATCCAATGATGTTTTGCAGCAAACCCTCTTGTGTGCCACGCTCCCCCCAAGAGACAAGGGGGGTCAGCACTGGAATGAAGGTTTGGCTCCCTGGTCCTGAGCAGGAACCCACCTCAGCACAGGAGAGAAGCTCCTCTTGCATGTTTAACCACAGCTGATTAGTGGTGGTTGGGATGAGCTTGTAAGAGTCCCCGAGTTACAAGTATGAGTCTTTTTCTAGCTTCAGTGCATCTGGATTTGAACCCTGGCACTGTTATGAGGGGTACACCAACAGTAGCTGAAAGGCACATCGAGGAAGCAAGCTCACTCCAAAGGCTTTGCCAACTGTAGGGTTCAGGATGTGCCTGCAGAGATGTAGGTACCCCCAGAACAGCTCCAACTTTGACACCTTTTTGAAGCAATGAAAGCAAGACAAGAAAACAGAGTGAAAGCAGTCTGATCAGCCCTGGGATTGCTTGTCAAAACGTGCTGAGACCGCACAAGCTTCAGGGATTTAGTTCCAACGTGTCCATGTGATGCCCATTTGCAGCTCTCCACACATGTAAGCCCTTGCCTCACACAGGCAGCAGGCAACGACCCACAAGACCCAAGAGTCTCCTCACCAGAGGACCGGCATCGGTGCCATCTGGAGAGCTGACACACCACACGTCAGACCAAGACATGCACTCTCAGTCCTGCCAGTACGCCAGGACTCTGCCTCCCAGACCTGGAGACTGAAGCGAGTGCCCGGCACAGCTCGGCAGTGGGGGAATGACCCCATCGATGTCCCTGCCTTGCTCCCGTGGCACACACCTCCCTCCTCGGCTTCCCCAGTGGGGACCACATCTGCTAATCCTGGCTCGTTGCCATCTTCCCCCAGCCCACCAGTGAGATACACCAAAATGCTGAAGCTGAGGCGTGAATTCCAATCTAAAGCCAAACAAGTAAAATTCACCGTGAGCAGAAGCTTTCCTACAGTGCTCATTTGCACTGGAAGCCAGAGCTAGAAACAGCACCAAATTGTGTCCTAGAAGATACAGTACACAATCACAGGTGAGGCAATCTTTGCTGAGAAGGAAGGCAGCATGGATGGGCTGGAAGGCTGAATAGATGGGGAAAAAACGAAACAGAAAATGGAATGAACAGATCAAGAACTGAATTACTGAGATATGCATCCTCACCATAACTAGGGGACCTGGTTTCTTCTGAAACACTGTGTTTCAAGTGCAGTGTAAAGCAATTTTCACCTCCTGAAAAACGGCTTGTTTCTTTCTGTACCCATCAGCTGTGCGCTTGCAGAAAGATTCTGCAGCATTTTGTACTGTGGGTTTTTTTTTTTTTTTTTTTTGGGAACTGAGCATCCCTTCTTCCATGCAGACATGGTGCTTATGTACAGTGCATACTGTGGCGTTCGCAGTGTAAATAAGCTTCAGTCTTACACTGCACAGACAAGGCGCAGAGCAAGTTAGCAGTGCTGGGGGGCAGCCCCACAGTCTCAGGGCTGCCACTCAGACATGCTTTTGGCATATAAAAAAACCAAGAAGCACTTATAAAAAATTTAAAGGAACTGGCTTTCTTCTGCTCCAGCTACCTATTTCATAATACTACTTTGGAGCTGGGGTGGCTCTTTAACATAGCTATCAGAAGGATTTGATCCACCACCCCTCCAGCCCGTGGAGGCACTAATCCTTTCCCTCTCATTTAAAAGATAAAAGGTGCTGCCTCCCCCACCCACAAAGCCCCACGCACCACTGCAGTCCTGCAATACCTTTGTCCGACATCACTCGCCAAGGATCCCATCCGCCGAGCCGGTAACAAGGGGCTCACCCCATGGACATCTTCTGTCATCGCCGGTGGGACAGTTTTTACGTGGGAATTGCTCTCTGAAGGGGAATTCTTCAGCTTGGCTCTCGCCATCCTGCGAGCTTTGGCTGCCTCTGTGACTTCCTCCTCTTCCCCCCCTGAACTCTCTCATACATAGCAATCCTCACCGCATTCAGTTTAGAGCTGTCGGCACGTACCATCTCCTTCCTTCTTCTCTCTCCCCACGCACGGCTGCTCAGTGGAACAATCCTGCCCTGCACATTTATTTTGGTAGTGAGGGGAGTCAAGGCAAACTCTCTGGCCTTGCTGCTGCAACGAATTTGGTGCAAGTGACCGAGAAAACATCCACAATGCAGAAATCTCTGAAATGGCTTTGTTTAGTAAATAACGTAATTGCCTTGGCTGTCTCCTTAAAAAAACGATTGCACTGCTGTTATCTCCACAAGCAGGGCAGAGGCTGAGGGATTATTTTTTCCCCATCCCTGTTTTGCAGTAGCAACGTGAGGGGGAGGAAGCTATTTTATCTTTTTCCTCTGTGTAAAGAGCAGTGTGTGGACTGCGTTCCAGTGGAGAGGCTCAGCGTGCTTGGCTCGCAGACACAAAGCAGTGGAGCAAGGTCCCCTCCTAAACCCAACCTCTGTGAGCTGAGCAGAGAGGAACCCGCTGCAGCTTCCCTCTGAGCTGCCAGTGGCCCCGGGGGCTCAATCACGGCTAAAACACCACCTGGAAAGGTGCACGCTCCCTGTCCCAGAACAACCCAGCCTTCCCTCTTCAGGTGAGTGCAAAAGCTGCTGCTCCTTGAACATGCTCAGCACTGATTTCTCAAGAAACCGAACAGGGAATTTGCTGTTGCCAGGGGAGTCCCGCCAGGAGCCAAACCCCTGAGTCCCCCCGTGCGCAGGTGGGACTGGAGAGGGGGAACACGGGCTTCTCGCCCTTTTTTTGGGGGTGCCACCAGTCCATAGCTGCTCCTGCTCGTGCTTGTGGCAGCCCTCAGCACAGAGCCCCTTCCAGAAGAGCACGAGGGAGATGCAGCCGCTCCCCGCGGCCTGGGGCTCAGCACCATGGACAGACCGGGCTCAGAACCACGGACAGCGGCAGGGGCGGCCCACC